TATCAAAACTTGTTTTTACATGGATGATCTCCTCACCAGTGTTGATTCGGAATCGGAAGCTTTAGATATTTATCACGAAGTATCAGAAATTTTAAACGATGCAAAGTTGGAATTAAGAAAATGGTCGTCAAACAGTAAACATATTTTAAATTATATCGAAAAACAAAACGTAACGGACGATGAAAACTATGTTCTGTTTCATGATAAAAAAGAATTGAAAACTTTAGGGATTATATGGGACGCGAATTCTGATCTTTTAAAGTTTAACGTTAATGTCACGATAAATAAAAATAAAATTACAAAACGTACAATTTTGTCAACAATCGCGCAGATTTTTGATCCATTGGGGCTGATTGGGCCTACTGTAATAAAAGCGAAACTAATAATACAGGAACTGTGGCACAGGAAATTAGAATGGGATCAAGAAGTACCAAAGGATTTACAGGATCATTGGTTAGAATTTATCTCGGAAATTCATCTCTTAAATGACATTTGTATTGAAAGACACGTTTTAGCTGAAAATTGTAAGCATGTAGAGATTTATGGATTCAGTGACAGCTCTGAAAAGGATTATGGGTGTGTAGTGTATTTAGCTTCATACAACGATGACGGTAGCAAGATTGTTCAGTTATTAACTGCAAAATCCAAAGTTGCGCCACTCAAAAAAGAAACATTACCCAGACTTGAGCTTTCAGCAGCTCATCTTCTCGCAAAGTTAGTCTCAAAAATTAAAAACACATTAAATATTGACATTTATAGAACACTTTATTTCACTGATTCAACGATCGTTCTTTCGTGGCTAAAAATTGAACCCTCAAAACTAAAAACTTTCGTTGCCAATCGAGTTTCAAAAATTTTGGAAATCTCAAATTTTAATGAATGGAGACACGTACGATCTAAAGAAAACTCTGCAGATATTATAAGTCGAGGGGTAAATCCAACTGAATTGTTAAACAATAGTATGTGGTTTAACGGGCCACAATTTCTAAAAGACGACACCTACCTAAGCTCGAAAATCACGGACTATTCTTATAAACTTGATTTAGAGAAACTTCCGGAAATGAAAAATGTTAGTCTCGTTGTAAATACTGTAGAAAAACCGACACTCGAAATTGAAAATGAAAATTTTGATTTATTTGACAAATATTCAAAACTCGATAAACTCAAAAGAATTATAGGGTACATTGTAAGATTCAAAAATAGAACATTAAATAAGATAATAAAATCTGGAGAAAGTTTAAGTGTTTCAGAGTTAAATGAGGCTAATTTGATTTTAATTAGAGTCGCTCAAAATGAGGCATTTAAACAAGAAATATCAGATCTTAATAAAGGTAAACAAATAAGTAGTAGTAGTCCTATTTTAAGTCTTCATCCTTTTCTCGATCAAAGCAAAGTTTTAAGAGTTGGTGGCAGACTGACTCACGCAGTACATTTAAATTATGACCAGCAACACCCTGTAATTTTGCCATATAAAAGTCGTATCACGGAACTGATAGTTTTAGATGAGCATTTGTACAATATTCACGCGGGATGTCAAACATTACTCTCCATCATAAGACTAAAATATTGGCCTATCAAGGGTAAGAATATAGTTAAGAAAGTAATTAAATCATGCGTCAGATGTACTAGAGCCAACCCTAAACCCGGTAATTTTTTAATGGGAGATCTACCTCTTAATCGTGTCACGCCTAACCGACCTTTCAGTAGCGTAGGTGTAGATTATGCCGGACCTATTTATGTTAAAGAAAACACGTCTCGTCGTAGTAGGCTCGTAAAAACATATGTGTGCGTATTTGTATGTTTTGCAACTCGAACTATTCATATCGAGTTGGCTTGCGATTTATCGACAGATAGCTTTCTTCATTGTTTAAAACGATTCTGTGCTCGTCGAGGAAAACCTATCAATATTTACTCAGATAACGGGTTAAATTTCGTTGGCAGCAACAATTATTTTCTTGAGCTTCAAGAATTAATAAATAGTCCATCACACGAAAAAAGCGTTAAAAATTTCTTAGCACCCGATAAAATTAACTGGAGCTTCATTCCCGCTCGTTCAGCTCATATGGGCGGCCTGTGGGAAGCAGCAGTAAAGTCCCTGAAGTTTCACTTGAAGCGAGGCTTGGGAAACGCAAATTTAACCTATGAAGAAACGTATACATTGTTAGTACAGATCGAGGCTGTACTAAACTCTCGTCCTCTCACCCCATTGTCCAATGACTTAAACGATTTTCAACCCCTTTGTCCTTCTCACTTCCTCATCGGGAGCTCTCTCTTACTACCACCTGATGAAGACGTCAGAGACATAAAAATGAACCGTTTGACCCGATACCAACGATTAAAGCAAATATTCCAGCATTTCTGGGACCGATGGTCTTCGGAATATCTGTCCACTCTACAAAATCGATCCAAATGGAAAAAAGAGACAGTCGATGAAATAAAAATCGGATCGATGGTTGTCCTAGTAGAGGACAACTTGCCTCCCCTCAAGTGGTCAATGGCACGTGTGGTGCAGCTTCACCCTGGTACCGATCACATAACCAGGGTAGTGTCAGTTCGCCTACCAAGCGGAGCAGTTACGAAAAGGTCGTTGAAGAAGATATGCCTTTTACCAACAGAATAAAGACTAATATAAACTATTTAACTGTCAGCAGTGTTGCAAACATTTCAAGTGTCAAGTGCTAAAGTTTCATTTCGAAAACTTAAAACTTTTCAACGGGGGCGATATGTTTGGACATTCAAATCTATTTGAACATTCAAATCAAATTTCTTATATCAGACTGTTATATTGAACAAAAGTGTAGCAACATTCTTAAACATGGCAACGCCGTAATAAACCTAGCAACTCAAAAGGATCTGGCAACGCGCAAGAACAGCTGCAGGAAGAACGGCAAGCGACCAATAGGATCGCTCAGCGCGACCAATGGGATCGCTCGGCGCGACCAATAAGGAGAGACGGATTCGAGAGCATGTCACGACATCACGTTGTTATTGTTTGACTAATAATCAATTAAAAATTCGTTTTGTACCGCAATAAATGGTTAATCAATTCAAGTATTAATTCTCGTTAATGTGTTTGGGGGGTTCCCTTTGACCTATAATAAAGGGTGGTCCTTCGAAAGTCCTCAACAGAGGATCAGTAGGTGGGTTCAATGTCGCGATTATTTTTAAGAACCGATTTCGTATATAATAATCTACCTGTTGCGACCCGCGGGTGAAATAAGAGTTGATTTTTACTGACCAAAGATCGGGCAAAGTCAGTTTTTGTCGCCTTCGACATCAGCTTTTTCGACCATTATTGGTTTTCGTCCGACGATGGCCGTCATTGTTGTTATTTTGGGTTTATTTGAATTTCACAGTGAGAATCGGCGGGTGTTTTTCACAATAATTTTCCCGTGGGACTTGGACCCTGGTATGTTACAACGAAATAAAATATTTGACTTCATTTTATATTGGTAAAATGTTTCTTTAAGAATATATCAACATTTAGTAGAAAACAAAATAACATCTTTATACCAATTTTAAAATACCACAGTTTAGGTATGGATAATAATAACTTCTTCTTAACTTTCCATGCTACACTATTCATTCCCAATGTCAAATTACATAGTCGCATTTGATCACAGAAACATTTAAAAAATGTTTCAAAAACGTATCCGATCAGAATGTTTTAAAAAATTCAGTTAAAGTAACCGAGAACGTCCATTGGTCGTAATTCTCTAGTGCAAATGTCACAACTTCAAACAGACGTCGAAAATGTCTTGAAACGCTCTTGAACGAAAGTTTTAAAAATGAAAAAATACATTTTTCAAAGAGAACATCCTGGACGGCCTCTAAACTTTCCCAGAACGTCCAATTGACTTTTTTTGTAGGTAGTGCAAATGTTGCAGTTACAAACAACCTTATACAAACAATATGAAGACGATGAATGATTCAAAAACGTCTTAAGTTGAAATCATTTCCGGACGTTAACATAACTTCAACATAACATAAACATATATATATTACAGAATTTGTGGTATTTATAACAATTGGTTTTATATACAAACAGTTTTAACATTCCATCTAAGAATTTTATGTCTTGCACCTAGATGTATTACCATTTGTATGTGCAAAAGCAACTCAAAATTAAGAATCATCTTAAGAATAATATATACTATCGGGGCATTTTTCATAGAGTTTGTTAAGTATGTACTTGATAAAATGATAAGATTGTGTTGACTTGCATCAGATTTTAACCATGTTGACCAGCATTACAGGTGCAAGGCTTTTGATCAAAACCAAAAAGAATGATCGATTTGAGATTATTTTTCGAAAATGGAACTTATTTTCATATTCAAGCAAAAGCAGTGCAGGGACGTTTTCCAAGTTTACATAGTAGATAGGTACCTATATTGTTATAGGTTTTACATAAATACACCGAAACAGCTGATTTAAGAAAATCGTATATTATCCTATGTTACCGAGGCCAAGAATGTGATTTTGTAAATTTATATAAACAAATGGCGATCGTATCCAAAAAAATTCGTACAAGTACAAGGTTTCATCCAATTGTGTTTTAAAAACAAAGTTGCAGTTTGTATGAGGCATCAGGTATATTGTGATAGGTATTTTCACAATAGGTTCAATGAATTCAATGGGTACATAAAAATGAGTTTCATGTTTAATTAACATTACAATTTGTACTGTACAAGTAGAATCATTCAATCATTCAGGAGGTGAAAATGCGTTTAAAAAGATTCCAACCAAATAATGTCTAGATCTGAAAACAAGCTTTACTAATTGCGAAGTGTATTTACCTCAGTTGTAGAAGCTACAAAGTATTTCCCGGTAAACTATCAGATAATGATTGATTCCACAATTGTCTGATCTTAATTATAATTCAGACGCTTGGGGATAGGTACATATCTTCTTCCATTTGCAATAATTTCGTACCCAATTGAATATCCAACATGTAGTTAACAGTACCTTTTGTATAAAATAAAACGAACATAATTCCTATTATTTTATTTTAGCATAAAAAATGATAAGTACACATCATATACATATGTAATAAAAATAATTTATTATCTAAGTCTTAGACAATGTCCGTTTGGGCGTCCAGAATTTTGTCTCTAAGCCATATCTGATAGGATCCGTAAACGCAGAACCATAGGAAACAAAGAGCAGCTAGAAAAATTAATAAGCAGGTAACTTTGATTGCTAATTTAAAATTTCATCTTACCAAAAACAATGAAAATTATCAAAAACGTAAAATCCTTGTGTGTATTACTTTCGATGTGGATAGTAGCTGCGAAAAGACTAAGGAATATGAGTAGTGCATATAGAAAGGCATATTTTTGGTCGCGCTGAAATGAAATAGAGATTATTTTTTTAAAATTGTATCAAATCATACAATTTCATTTAAAATAGCTACCGTGAAATGCATGAGGAACGAAGTTAATTCTTCAATTAAAAATTTAGTTTAATATTGAAAAAAATATTGTTTTAATGTAGCAAAACTTACCTTTAGAACAGATACTAACAGCAAAACACTCAATATTAAGTTACAAGCAGCAAAGCCCATTGACAATTTGAAAAAGCCCATTTGAAAGTCTTCATTATCGATGTTCTTCAATTTTATCGTACACAATATTACTCCGAACACTCCGAAAAGCTATAAAAAAAAAGTTAAATCATATTTTTACAATACAATAATTGAATACTTACAAAATTAGCAACCATAACAAGAAACCAACCAATAGTTAGTTTTCTATTATAAAACTTAATCTCCGACATTTTATTGCACTACCAAAAAACTTATCACCATATTATTTTCTTCACATTACTGTGTACTCACAATTCGTAATTATTATTATTTTAATTTGTTGAGCTTATCATTAACTTTCTTTAAATTCAACTTGTTTCATAGTCCCGCGACCTCTTTGCTATTGTTATTGTGCTTAAACGCTTTTACTCCAGATCCAGATTCTGCCAGAGCGGCATTCGGTAAGTAGTTTTGCTTTACGTCAACTAAAATAAAACTATTTTTCATTTGTGTTTGTTTATTGATAGTTCTCAAACTCCAAATTCCACTTCCTCCTCACCAAAAAAGCACAATGTTATAAACTTACCTATGCAGCTAGAAAATAATACCTGAGGATGATTAATTTAAGTAATTATATAAATTATGTAATATAGAAAACTGTATTCTTCAAACAATTAGAATCTGTGTAAATTAAATGATTTTGTGGATTCAGTAAATAATAAATATCATCATAGTTTCACCCCTAGATGCGCCAACATCCCCAATCCTAACGAGATAAACGGGCAGGACGACTGGATGGCGCCAGAACTATGGACGTTTCGGATGCAGAGCGATGGTGCTTTGCCAAATTGCCAAAGACGTCGATGTTCTTTATTACGGTCGGGGAATATTTACGATTCACGGTGTTGATTAAATATTCGTTTTTACCTACCTATGCAGGGAAATATCGATGAGTTCCTGTTTCCATAACTATTTTAAAATGATCGGGAAGAAGCAACAGCTGTGCTTGCTCAGTACTAAAACTAGTATTCTTCGCAAAATTGTTAAGACTTTCAGTAGCATTTTTCGTTATATGTATTTCTGAAATGATTCGTTTTGCAATTGGCTATAGATATACAACGTAATATTCCTAATAGCATAAACGGTGGTACGATGGACGTTTAGAGTCGAAACGTTTGAGGACTTAAATAAAACGTTTTAGAAACGTTTGTTCAAGAACTTTTTTAAAAACGACATGAAGAAACGCCCAAAATATGTTCACAAAACTTCCATATAAGCACAAATTTCTGTTTTTTTTTTTTTTCTTCTTTTTTAAATAGGACGTTTTTAACCAATAACAGTAAACGTTCTTTTATTATCCATGAGTCCACGTCAGTGTGTTTATTCAAAAAGGTATTGAAAGAACGCTTTTTAGACGTTTGATTTAAGTTGTTTTTGAAACCTCTGCTTAGGAACAATTAACAAAGAACGTTTTCTATAGGTTCCTAAAACTAAATTTCTAGTAAACGTTTTCATAAATAATTTCTAAAACCATAATTAAAATTGGTCTAAAACTATTTTTCAATAGAACCATATAATAGACCTATCTCGCATGATTAGAAAAAGAGAGCTTAATTATAATAAATACAAGTTAGAAAGCAATGAAAGATGACATGCGCGCGCAGCTCGTAGGCTACAGTGTAGCCAGATTGTATTGTTGTATAACAATAATGTAGACAATACAAATCGAAAATTATAACATTAAAGAAGTGATATAGTGTCAAGTGTTTTACAACGCCTTAAATCAGACAAAAGAAGAGCTTTAAACTGGATGAACATCGTTTCCACTTTTATTTTGAGAAATGTTTCATCCGGCAACATCATTCAATGAAATTGCAAAGGAATATGTCAAGTATAATCTAACAAAACCTTAAACGACACTGCGGTGAGTTCAAATAATATGTAAAGTATTAGTTTGCTCTTTGTCGAATTACACGTTACAAAGAAGGAAGGAACGAGTAATTCTGAAATGGCCCCTGAATAAGAATATGACGCAAGCCTGTCACAAACTTGCTTCTCATTGGACGCTCACCTGCAGCCTACAAGCGACGCGCGCAGTCCAGGTAAAAGGAGATCGGTCTATTTAGATAAATATGAATATATTGATAGACATACTTATCAGAGAACATAAATAGGAATGTTGAAGTTTTCTTAGGTGACATCAACATTAATATAATTGAAGAAAATGAAACTGCTACATCTCATCTTTCAATCCTGAACCATTTTGGTTTTTTGTTCGCAATTAACGGTCCTACTCTACTCGTGTTACTCCAGACCATGCATCATGCCTGGACCATATATTTATAAAGAAAAAAAATATAAAAACACATTGAAGCACTCTTCTTATATAGTGAAATCTGACCTTACGGATCATTTTCCCATTGCGTTGAATATTTATAACTCAGACATAGGTGAAACAAAGTCAAATACCCCTCACTATATAACCAGAAAGATAACTAAAATAATTTTGACACATTTGGAGTCCGGGATCAGACCTGGGCTTGTGTTGAGGTGCATGGATGATCCGGAGGTGGCCACATCTAATTTTACTGGAATTATTTTGAATGCTTTGGAAACAGCTAAGGAGGAAAAAACTGTTTTAGGGAATATAACAAATTAAAACCTTGGATAACAAAAATTAACTGCATTAAAAATAGAGATGAAATGAAAAAACGCTTGTTTCGTAATTATAATTTGCATGATGCCAATAGATACAAAGCTTATAGAAACAATTTAAACAAAATCATTAAAAAATGTAAGAATGATTATTGTAAAACAGAAATTGAAAACAGTAGGGAAGACATAAAAAAGATGTATAAATTGGTGTCAGAAGCACTAATGAAACTAAACTCTAAAAAAAAGACAAATAGCAATTTACAAATAAAATCTAAAGACGGACATTTTCCTGATGACCAAGCAATGGCTAATTTTTGTAACAAGTTTTTTGTAAATGTTTAATAGCTTAATATGCTTAATAGAATAAAAGAAGCTGATATGCCCTTTATGCTGGAACAGAAGTCTAATTCATCAATGTGTCTAAAGCCTGAATCTGATATAATAAAGCAGATAAATTCCCTTTTAAAAACAATAGCGCCCCTGGTATTGACGGCGTTGAATCAAAAATTATAAAATTCTCATTTGCATCTGCTTAGACCTCTTATTAACATAATTAACCTAATATTTAGAACGGTCATTGTCCCTATATAGCCACTTCAAGACTAGTGTGGTGACTCCTATCTATAAGGCTGGAGACAAAAGTGACATCGAGTGACATTAACAACTACAGACCCATTAGTGTCCTAATAGTATATTATTCAATGTTCATGTTATAACGTACTTACTTTGGCAATTGCCTAATTATACTGCATACGGCTAGTCAGCATCAGTCCGGATGCCATAGGTCTATGGGTTCCTTGTATACATCTTAACTTTGGGCGCCACCAAGTTAATTGTGACTTAACTAGGAAGATAACCTAATGATGTTATAAACAAAACCTGTGCAATTGGAGAGCTTATCAATAAAACAACTAATTAGGTACAATAATGTATCTGGCTTCTTTATTAAAAAATAATAACACTAATAATAAGGCGCCAAAAAGTGTAGCCACCAAGTTATTAGGACTTAACTATTGCGCCAATAAGTAGCCACGAAGTTATTAAAAAAGGTGTTTAGGATCAGGCTTGTACCTACCTAATTAGTGAATATCTGAATAAATAAAAAAAATTTAAATAATGAATATATGGATTTAAAATAAACAGTTTTATGTCCGATTGACCAATAAAGTGCTATTTATAGAACAGTTTTGCGTCAATAAAGTAGCACTTTATTGTACTAGTAAAATAAAGTGCTACTTTATTGTACTAGTAAAATAAAGTGCTACTTTATTGCCTACCTGGAATACCTGACAAGATGAAACAGGTCCTGACAACCTGCCAAGGTAAAACAAGTCTTGACAACCTGCCAAGGTGAAACAGGTAGGTATACCTACGCAAATTTTACTTTTTTCATTAAATTTTTTTAATTTTTAACAAAAACCAGTCATAATCGTACATTAAATCATGTATATAACGCTTACATAAACAGGCTTTATTGACTCATTATGTAATAGTATTCGTACAATAAAGCCTTACTTTATGTACTTGTTATATAAATAGCTATTAACTGTTTATTAACACTTGTGGAAGATTAAAAAAACAGTATGGGTTACACTCTACCAACAGGCAAATTTAACACAGAAAGGTGAAAGTTATTCTTTGGGCAACCTCAGGGTAAAATTCTAAAATTTTATTTAAGGGGCACGTACTGACGTAATTCGGCGTCAGATGATTTATATAAGATTTGCCTAAATAGTAAAGGTGCAACTTACATGTATACAAGTGAAATGTATGTGAAAATCCAGAAATTTCCAAAGTGAGGTTATCTACAGGTTTGGTCTCACTATTAGATAGACTATGGTGTGCCAACCTCTACTCGTGGTAATAATACAACACTTTAACACAAAAACAGTTTATTAATAATTATTAATATAAATATCCAAAACTAACAATTTCTTAATCAATAACAATAATATCGCACCGCGTCTTCAATACGTGTCGGTACAACCTCTACTGCCACACCCCCGTCCCATAACCCTGTCGAGCTCCGAATCCTTTTTTATTATAATATAAACATATTATATTAATCACCGATTACAAGGTATCGGCAGCAGGTCTCCACATATGGTATGGTAAGTGAGTCATGAGTCCTATCCACGTTGTATCTGTTTAACGTAGAACTCGACGTGGTTCTGCCAGAGTGGTACCAAGAGAGTTGCTGAAGGGAGGCTACCAAAGCCCCAACTGAGAGCAATCCAGATCCAGTCTAGAATCTCTCTAAATACAGCCTAGCAACTGTCCAACTATAGCCTAAGACCGTCCAGCTACAGCCTAGTACTAGGATTGTCCAACTATAGCCCAAGAGTAGGATTGTCCAACTATAGCCTGAGACTAGGAGTAGGATTGTCCAACTATAGCCTGAGACTAGGACCCTATAACGATTTTCGTATAAAAAAACAAATCGAGCCCCAAATATTAGAAATAATCTTACCTCAAATTGAGGGATACTCTAGACCAAAGGTGAAGTCTTCCAAATGCTGCTCGGAACAGTCCTATTAAAAAAAATGGAACACGTGTTGTAGGTTAATATTTCCTGAAGAAAATCTCAAACTTACCGAAACAGAATCCAAAAATGACCAAGGGACGACTCTAGACAATTATCAGCTAGAAATTAGTCTAAAACTTTAGCTCCCTGGCACAAAATTCCAAAAAGTCTCGCCCCAAAAATAATTAGGGCCGAGGCCCGAGACCGGACGACTACTCAGCGTGTGGTCGCAGATCAAAAGGACAGATTCTTCATTTAGAATTTAGATTTCGGAAGAAGACTTTCATCTGTCAAACTTCTAATTTTGACATTGAAGAAAATTATAGAAAAGGACGTGTTCAGTTTCACCCCAAAAGTACGAACTGAGAATCGGTTGTGTAAAAAATGACTGGTGAATGTTGAAAAGTGCCTATAGAACATATATCAAAAGGTAGAACAGGTCCAAAGAAAACGCCTAGACAAAACAGCTGTTCAATGACATGATGGAAATGAAAAGTCAAAGAGTAACAACAATTATTATCATAACCTCAGATTATTGATTGGATTTGCAAACAGATATGATGATGGTACTAACTCCTTTTCCTAAGATTCTAATCAATAACAGCGGGCCCTGCCGTACTGAATCAAACCTTCCCAGATCAATTAACCAAACTTGCAAACCTGAACCAAAAAAACTTCTAGTAGAAGGCAGCACTCAAGGTAACAAAATCTAGGCACAAAAAAGATAGTTATTTATTCATTTATTTCATTGTAGCTCTATATGGAATCATATCCAGTATGGCAAAACAAGGTAGCTTATTAGCCAAGAAATTGAAAACGTTACAATGTAATGATAGCTATTAATACACGAGCATGTTGTAGGATACGAAACGAGCCGCAGGCGAGTTTCGTATATAACATGCGAGTGTATTAATGGCCATTACATGAGAGTTGCATACACTATTTTTTCTACTGCCATTCATAAAACTTATGAAATTTAGATATGTCAACATTATGCTTAACTTTGAATAGAGATTTTATAATTGAGTAATGCGTCCATACAGTTGAAGGTTTCATTTTTTGTTGTAATTTTTCAAAATATACTATCAAAACATTTTCTGAGAAGAACGATGTGTTTTTGGTGTCTCTCCAATCCATAATTGTCCACATAATTTTTCGTAAATTTTCTTGGACTTGTCCGGTAGTATATTATTACCTGCATTTATCGCCTTATATGTGATTTCTGGAGGTTGGAAAATTCTTCGTTATCACTCAATATTTCTATAATAATGCCTCATCTTAAACTTTAGGTAACTTTTAATAACAATTTGAAGTATTTTTTTTATAAAATTCTTGTTTTTCGCTAAATTACCATGGAAAAACTATAAACAGAGTGCTGTCAACATTCAAAAAAAAATATTCAAAATTTCTTAACTGTTGGCGCCATCTATTGACAATGTATAATAATAAAAAAAGTAAAAATTCTTCCTTATCACTCTTTATTTCCATAATAATTATTCTTTGTCCCAAACTTTAGGTAACTTTTGAACAATTCCTAGTCTTTTTTATAGTTATCAAAATAATTGTTTTACGCAAAATTACCGTTTAAAATGTTTAATATCTTAACTGGTGGTGCCATCTATCGACATTGTATAATATTAAAAATCTGTATTATAATGAAAATCTGTATCATAATGAAGTTCATTATGATACAGATTTTAATCGTTTAATAGCGTATTATGAAATGTCAGTAGAAAAATAATTTTTCTAAAATTTTTAAAAAATTTCTATAAGCTGGTTAATTTTTTTTGTTCTAATAACATACTTTCAAAGAACCAATTTGGATTTACTAGTGGCTTTTGTACCACAGATGCTTCAGATATACGAAGTAACTGAACAGATATCAGAAAATCTAGATCACTGTAATGAATGCCTGGCTGTTTTCTTGGATTTAGCGAAGGTCTTGTCATTGTTCCTCACACTTAACTGTTAAGCGTGTTACACGCCTACGGTGTGAGAGGCCCAGTGTTGGAGATCTTCAGGAGCTATTTCCATGACAGGACCCAAGTGGTAAAGATAGGTCAAGTTACAAGTGAACCATTAACAGTAAAAATAAAAATAGATGTCCTTCAAGGCCCTGTTCTAGGCCATATACTATTTATTACATACAATAACTTCCTAACTTCCCTGAAGCTGAAAAATTGGTCAATTGTCTCCTATGCTGATGACACAGCGATAATTTTCTTTGGTAAGTCCTGATCGGATGTACAGGAACTGTCAAGATTGGGAGTAAATACGATAGCAAATTGGCTAGACACTTTTAAGTTAACGTTAAATATATCGGGTCTTCAAAAAAAAAAACAATCAACGATTGCTATGGTTTTTTAAACGTATGTCTTAACTATATTTTTCTTTAATTTTGTCAATGAACTTTACTGTCAAAATATAATGTCAAAAATCCTGACGAATAAAGAAACAGGAATGCGACGTACGTTTTTGAAATCAAAGCAATCTTCGATTGGTTTTTTTTTTGAAGACCCGATATCAATAAAACTAAATAAATATAGTGCATTTTCGCTTACACCGACAAACCGTCCCAACTTTGATAGAATTAAAATAGATAACATGAATGATTATATCTGAGAGGTGACTAGTATTAAGTATTTGGTATCATTATTGATATGAACGTTGAATGGGACCAACATGTATTTAGACTAACTAGACTAATTCGAAAATTGATACATACATTTTATATTCTAAGAGATCCTTGATATATTATGGACTGGTCATATGAAGTGGCTTTTATCAGAGCTCCTTGAAACCTTTAAATGTGGTTCAAAATTCGCTGTGTCTAGCCTCCCGGCACCGGTATTCATATGAATCCCGGTTGTGACGTGTTTTCAATGGCGCCTGGCGCCATCAAGGACCGCCGGGATTTATCGTAGATACCGGCTATTGGATTCAAAATTCAAACTCGTGCGTCTCTTGCTGCTTGAGTCTGTTATTTATTCCGGAATAGCTTTTGTGTATTATTGTTTCTTGTTGTGATATTGGTATTAGAGTGGTAAGTACTTCGTTAATCCAATTTTCGTTTTGTTTACTCTTTTTACTCTACATAATAATTCTGCTCCAATACCAATGAAAATAATAATTATTACCATCTTGTATAGCAATAGCCGGTATCTACGATAAATTTCGGCGGTCCTTGATGGCGCCAGCCGCCATTGAAAACACGTCACAACCGGGATTCATATAAATACCGGTGCCGGGAGGCTAGACACACTGTTCAAAATTACATAATAAAAATAAGGTATAGGAGCATAAATTTAAGATGTTTTGGCTATCTGGCTCCTAAGATATACAACACAATTGAAATTAGGATTTCCAGCAAAAAAAGGAATTTGGACATGACTGTAGAAAATTTGTTTTCACCAAATGGTCTGAGTTTGAGTGCTTGTTCTGATGTTCACTTTGGTTAGCATGATTGAGTTCTAAATGTAGTTTTTAAGGTTTAGTCGGTTTAGATTTGTATTAATTGTTATCTGTTCATCGGGGAATAATTATTTTAGGTGTAGAGAGAAATAATAATATCTATTGAAAATAAGCTGTCAAAAATATAATTTATTTGTGAATACAAAACATATATGAATTTTATCTCATGTGCGATGTTTTTCCAGCCATTATAATGGTATTTGAAAGTTTGATATAATACATAAATCCATGTTGTACGTTGAAAACGGTGCGATCAGGAGTCTGATGGCGCATGCTTGAAAGATATCTGAATTGGACGTTGTCTGAAAAATACAAATAAACAAAGTTAAACGCGTATTCTTAAGTTATTAGGAAAAATATAAAACAGCCAAGGAGCCAAGGACTTTTCTGCTTTTACGGTATCCGCCAAAATGAACAGAGAACACAACTTCAATTTAGAAATATCAACTTAGTTGATTTCAGGATTAGGGTAGACTTCTAATTAATAGCAACTATTCGTTTAATGTCCAAGTATAAAAATATAAACTTACTATCATTTGCAGCGGTAGCTACAGTACCTTCAGTAGTTACATTGATATAGGCCTTTTGTATAAAATTATGAATTTTAATCGAACCATCGGCCATGTTCGTAAAGTCTGCGTCCTCCGAAAACGCTGTTTCTATTCCCAGCTAAAACAGTGAAACTGTATAGAAGAATATGAAATTTTTATTATTACCTGATTTAAATCCTGTTGCATTCGATATCTAGCCCAAACAGAGAATATCGGCATTTCGACAGTCACATCTCGCATCGAACATTTGTCTTTACATTCATCAGCCGTGGTAATTTCTATTACTTTTGCCAAATTGTTATTGATGTTTGAGAGATCGCCCCAATAACCTGCATTGGGCAAGACTACGACCATGGATGCATCTTTTCCTTCATACGGTAATTCGATAGCTTTGGCATCGATGTGGCCTAAATCGTAATATCTAAAATAAGTAAATTGAAGTACAGATGAAATTAAAACAAGGCTATTTCATACCTGAAATGGTTTGTAACGGTCATCATATCGACCATCACTGAATTGGTTCTGGATAAACTGAAACGCTTCTTTGTTGGTAACATTGTAAACTTATGTTTCCAGGTTGCTACAAAAATAAATCAATATATTTCTCCTTTAGATTATAAAGCTGCAGTGCCGAGAAATTTGGATGGTAATAATAATATGATCAAAGAGCCAACAACACGAAATGTACCAAATTTTGTATAGTGTGTACCAACGTTTGGGACATGATTTGTCATAAACTGAATTCTTGTTAGGATTATTTTCAATCCAAACTTTCTTGCCCCATCACTGAATGAGTAAAACTTCAAATGCTTCTTTATAAGTATAATATATGGGCAATTTACTCAACAATTTGTATTTCGTGGCTCAAGTGTTCTAGACCTTATGCCATTACCATGCATAATACCTAATGCAAAAAGAATCTTACCATTAAAATATACAGCATTAATCAAAACAAGTTGACTAGTTTTGCTAACCTCATCTTCGGAAAGCAAATGTTTAATTTTGTGTTTAGTTTGAACTCCAACCCATTTATTTATATTTTCAACAACGTCAGTTGCCTTTAAAACAATTATAGAGTTAATATTTAACCATCAACGACTGATTAAACTCACATTACTGAAATCAACAGTTTCAAGTTTTGCATCGCGACATTTTTCCAAATCTGTCTTGAACGAATCGGTAACATTAACATCTCGACTTGTATAGAAACCAACTGCTTGGTGGAGTTTAAATTGATCTGATTTCAGTTCTTCTCCAAGTTGTCTGAAATTGTACGATAATAAAATGATCATTCAGATAATAAATTAATAATATTTACACTAATGATTTCACTAAGTCATTATTATCTTTTGGCAAGCCCACAGCTTCAGTGATTTCATCAGCGGATTTTCCATTTGCTCCTATTCTTGCTATTCCAAGAGAAATTGCGACAGTAAGTGGACTGAAAACGAAGTTCTTGTCTTGTCTTCCTTTAATCAGTCTCTGTCGTTATAAAGAAAAAAAGAAAATATTATCTACAATATTGGGAAAAATATATTAAATAATTCAAACCAATCAGTAAATCTATAAAATTGTGCAGTTGGAAACGATTTTAATTTCATTTATGTCACAAATGATTGATAACAAAGATGCACAACACAAAAAAAAAATACCAGTCAGTTATCTAGATCTTATTATAATACTTACATTATAAAGATCTGCTGTAAACTGATGATTACCATTATTAAATTCATCAAGTCCATTACTGGCTGCACAGCTACCTATTACGCTCAATACAGCTAACGTAACTATAGTGAATTTCATAATGGATAAGTTCTACTAGCGAAAAAGTCGCTAATGTGTCTAAAAGCAAATTGAACTTGAACAGAAAACTTAAACTTGTTATAGATGTATATGTATGTGGAAATAAGAACAATAAGTAATAAAATCAAACATAAAATTATTTATTGAAAAATTGTTATTTGTGATGACGGTAAGTAGGTACTTGCGAACAATGCTTCATTTTCTTTTAATAGGAAAAATTTTATATTGTATATGTGTAATACAAAACGTCGAAAAACAATCCCGATTATGTTACGCAATCATACAATAATTTCTGACGACAAATAATAGGATGATGTGCTGATCCAGAAATTTGACCCGATAATTACAAAGTCTTTATTGTAAAAATTAAAGTTTATCAAATAATCAAAATTTAATTCCGGTATTTTTAAATCTGCATCGATAATTTAAAAATAAAACAAATTAACGCTAACGTATTGCAACCAGTCATCATCTAAATTAAATTCTTAAAAATGATAAAAACGAGGACAGTGACATCACTAAAATCCGATCAATGAACTTTTTTTTTGTTAGCGAAGGCCGTGCGTATCTAAAGGCCGAAACCCACTAGCAACACGCCACGCCACCCCACGCCATGTGACACAGGTTCACGTGGGACAGTTTGTGTGCAAATTGACGGATGGTGTGGCGTGCCACGGCGTGGTATCTCGTATGGCAAGTGTGTACGCAGCACATATAAATAAATGGAAGAATATACGCATACATTTTCGTCACATGGCGTGGTTTGGCGAAGCATGACGTGGCGTGTTGCTAGTGAGTTTCGGCCTTAATTAGTTTGATGATATATGGCATTCTTGAACCAATAATGTTTTGACCTCAATAAATCACGGTATTGCGACATAATTAATCGATTTTTAGACTAAAAATAAAATAAAATTCCAAGGAAATTGCATCATCTTAATTGTCATGGACAAAGAGATTTGGGTGCATCGATTGATATAAATAGCGCGTTTTTTAGAAGGAGTAAGTTAGTTGCCATTTAACAGTCCAGTTGAGTAAAAGTCTACAAAACCAAATGAGTTTGTCCGGTTGAAAATTAGCGAAGCTGCCTCGGGGAAAAACGCGTTCGAAATAGACTTAGTAAAAGCTCGAAAAATCGTGTAAGAAATAACATTTGAAATTCGTTCAATTTATGTGCGTGCTAGCTAAATATTTTGAGTAATTAATTAAGTAATTTTTTGTGTGTTTTATGGACAAAATGTAAGTACTCTATAGTGACAAGATTTATTTTTGATGAACATGACTTTGTGTGAATTTTACTAGAAAAAAAACTTTTGACTTTTAATCACGGTGGAACTTTATTACAATAAAATTAATAACTTGAGTGTTTTATAAAGGAAACATTATCGCATAACTTAATTACCTTCAGATATAATGACATTTAATGGTGCAAAGAAAATTATGAAGGGACTTTATAATGCATTTAACAGAACATAAATAGCTTCGATTTGAGTAGAAGTTTGAACTGATTGTCCAATTTGAAAATTAAGGGCTATAATAACGAACTCATAAGAATTTAAATACATTTTGTATGTTAGCCAGGATGGCGAGAATTTGTAATTGTTCTAATTAAATGGAATAGGAAATCTTGAAAAATAGAATTGTCTTAAGATATTGGAAAGTTGTTAAAGGAAATTTATGATAGTAATTTGTTTTGTTGAAAAGGAAATGGGATGTGTAGAAAAGAAACTTGTGTTTGAAACAAGATTGTTGACGATTATCATTTAATATAATGGAGTGGTTAGTTTAAGAACTGTTGTCATTCAGGAGATAAAACTTCTAACGATTATCATTAGACGTATTGAGAAGTTGTATTTGAAATTTGTTATTCAACAAGAGACATTGATGATTTTAAGTGCCGAACTTTTAAATTAGGTATTTTATTTTTCAAGTAGAAGTTATTGAAAGATTTTATGAGAATAAATTAGTTGATATACAAATAGGTACCTAATTATTTTGGGTTTTCATAAGTAAAGGGCTTAGAGATTTTAAAGAATTATTTGATTAGGTAAAGGATAGTTATTAGGAATGATTCGGATGTAGTGAAATGAGTTAAATTATAATTTTTGAGAAATAGTATGAATAGGCCGTTTCTTGTTTAGTAGGGATATTTCAGTGGTCCGTAAAAAATAACAAACTAGAACGGATGTGAAGTACCTATTGATTTTATAGAAATAAAGAAGGATGTAAAGTATTGGAAGATATTTGGCTGATTTTTTGGGTTTTATGTAAAATAAAATATAATTTAGTACACCTCATTAGTTTGTTTCTCTCTCTTGCAAATAGACCCTCTCCAACAGATTTTAGATAGCAACTCCAAGTATATAAACACCATCAATATACCGCTCGCCATTTACCATCTAACTATTTACATAGAGTACTTGGGGCGTTTTGCTACAATATTACAACTGAAAGATTAGTTGTAAAATCATCAAATCGAATAAGACATAGTGGGTGTTTAGTTTTTGCTAATTAAAATTTCAATTTATTATTTGCTCGACTAAAATCTCAGTATGTGGCCGCTTCCTTAGACAACCATTGATTGACGGAACCAGTAGCTGGTTCGTTCAAAAATGATGACAAGCGTCAGACTAATCTGTGCGTCAGACACTATGGTCAGACACTTCAAAAAAAGTAAGAAGTGAGAAGTAAAATTTTCTTCAGCAATTTATTTAGTAGCGTCGCGTGTTTAATGGTGTAGTTTCGACACCCCGACCTTCATTAATCTGTATGTTATGTTGTTACGCCACTGCTTTGCTGCTACTGTCCCGCCACTGACCTGCAACAAATCTACCACACCGTTTATTCAGCATTCCGCTTACTCAGCATAGTTATAAGTTTCCATATTATATTATACTTTCTAGCTTTTTCCTCAGAGATCATTCTTGAATCAACCTCCGAACAAGATTGTTAATTCAGGTATGACGTATACCCGTTTTCCTATGTCAGCGTCAGCGTCAGAAAAGAGGTGTACATCATACCTGAACCAATGACGACGTTTATATACGTTGTCAGATGTGCGTCGCGTACTATCCTAACAAACCGTACCTTTTATTATCCGTTCACAATCCGATGTCCACAGGTACAGGTAAAATATATCACCTTTCGATGCTATTTGATAGGAAAAGGTGATAAATTTACCTGCACCTGTGGACATCGGATTGTGAACAGGATATACATCCAGATAACGATGACAATAACGTTCCTATTTATGCTGCCAGATATTCGCGCAATCATTTCAGAAAATTTTGATGGCGATCGCACTAAACACTTTGATTTTTTACAAGACTGTAGTCAAGCATGGAGTCTTTGTCGCGGCCCTCAAAAAATTCTCATCATATTTTACTTATACATAGAATCTAAACTCGAAGGATCCACACGCGCTCAAACTAGTTTCAAAAAATTCTATCATTATGATGAAATTCGAGAATGTTTAATTGAACTATTTGGCGATCGACGAAATCTTTCTCAAATCTTAGAAAAATTAAATACATTAAAACAAAGTAAAATGGTATCAGTGCAAAGTTATTTTGATCGTATAAAAACCCTACAAACACTGTATATGTGCATCTCTTCAAGAGTGTCAAAGTCACGAATTTTGCTCATATTGAAAAACCATACAAATTCAAATAGGTATAGCGCCTCCTATGCAGGAAACATCCGCGCACTCGGAAAGGAACCGAGGTCGACAAAAAAAAAGGTACGAACAACACTAGTTTTTTCGTACAGCCAAGCGACTGCGAAACACTCTCTCTCTTTTCGCCAAACACGAAACACGAACACACAATTTTCAATCCGTTTTTCGCATACAAAAAAAGTCGATGAATATCGCGAGCTCGCCGGTTACCGGTTTCGAAATAAAAGCCGGTAGTGTTGTGTAACCGAACCAAAACCCGGGATCCCGGTATTAACAATTAACTTTGAACTAGAAGAACTCCAGAAACACAGGTAAGGCGCCTTTTATCATATTGTCTTTTGTATGGTTATTTTTTGCTACATATTCATTAGTTGCGCTTACAGTCCACGTAACTCCGAAGGTGATTCTAAAATATCAACCATTACACCAACATTTTCTGGTCCTTCGAGCCGGATTTGAACCTTTCTTTTTAGAATCAAAAATCATAATTAATAATTATTAGCAAAAATCGCCATATAAAGCAAGTTTTTTATGTGCAGGTTTGTGCGCCTAAACTTTCGCTATCCATTATTCTCTATTTTTGAGGAATTTCAAGGCCACTGAAACCGACTGTAAAACTTATCGCTTAGGCACCTACCTATCAGTTATTAAAAATAAATTTATTTCATTTTCGCAAATAAACGGAAAAAAGAAATAGTTGTTTACTAAATAAAAAACTCAATTATTTCCGATAAGTTTAAGCATTGCAAGCACAGGTAGATACATTGGTGCTAATAATGAGATTGTAATGATTGTATTACTTAATTTCAAAATAATTTTTCGCTATATTTAATTCTATAATTTTCGCTTTTCGACGATTTACAGGTTTTACATTACAGCCTGCAAATCCAGGTATATACCTTATTCTTAGGTATATACCCTATTTCATAGATTCTTTGCTTTGAAAAAGACTTTCTTAATTTTTTCAATTTTTTCTTGGCATTTCGATCAACATGCCGGAAACTGAGGCGGCAAACGCTGCGCTCATCAAAAAATTAACTAAAAAACGTTACGTCTGTGCTAGCCGAATCACAGAAACGTACACGGTTGCACAAAAAGCCAAAACCAGTGACTCTCAAAAAGCACTGCTTAAAGTAAGGTTTGAGAATTTGGAAGAATCTTATTCTGATTTTCAAAAATATCATAATGAAATCATTGGTATAATTGATGATAAGGAATATGACCAGCAGGATGCTGTCAGAAAAGACGCAGATAGTTATTATTTTGGGTCAAAACAGGTTTACTTTGAATTATTTCCACCTAGTAGCACACCAGGTAGTTATGTTTTAGCGCCAAATCAATCAAACCAGGCAAGT